CTGTCCCAGGAAACTCTCTAAGACTAGAAGTTGCGGAGTTAGCTGTGGAGCCAGGAAGACCTGAGTTCAAATCCTGCCTCTGAATATAAAAATACTACCTGTGGCACCCTGAGCAAACCGTTTAACCTCTCAGTCACCCAGAAAACCTCTTAAGATTATCAATTGTCAAGGAGTTGCCCATTTGCATGAGTGAACAGAATTCCCACACCAGAAGCTCCCTGTGCCTATGAAACACAGGCAGGAACAAAAACAAAAACAAAAATAAAATACTTCCAAACTACGGCAGTTTGGCATGGTGTAGCACGAAGGGCTTTTGAGTCTGGAAGACTCTGTCAAATACTAGCTTTGTGACGCTCAATTCTCTAAGTCTCTCGCCACCTTGGATGGATGATTTGTCTTCCCAGAGATAAGAGAACTGCTCCTGGCACAGACGGTGCCCACACAACGGAGTTTCCTGACGATCACCTGCCCTTTGCGTGGTCACACAACTATTGGATTGTGGTTGGGAAATTTAAAAAAACAAAAACAAAAATCCAAAGCTCTAGAACTTAATGCCAACTGAGGATCAACCAGAAATTAAGATTTTAAAAGCTGTTATAGTGTAAGTCAATAGGAAAACAGCATTAGATTTCAAAAAACTGGTCCCATACATAGTTTTTGGGGACAGACATTATACAAAGCAAGCTGTAGCCGTAGCTGTACTAGACTTTAAAACCTTCATCTTAAACACCAAAGGAGGAGTTCTCCTCCTCCTCCTTTTTTTCCCAGGAGTGAGAACAACAGAAGAAGGAGAGAAGTGTTTTTATGTAGCACCTACTATGTGCCAGCCTTAGCACTCCTGTGCTAAGCACTTCACAAATGATATCTCATTTGATCTCCACGATAATCTGGGGAGGCAGGTGCTCTCACCATCCTCACTTTACAGTCTTCAATAGAGAGCTGAGGATTTCCAAACAATGGTCAAGTTCAATAGATGATGGACAGTAGCAGTTGGCGATGGCAACTGTGGTCACCAGAACGTCTTCCTGCTCTTCAGATGAGAAAATGTCCTCTCGCTGTGAGGGTGGTCTCCTATCGCCCTACTGCATCCCGATTCTTTGTTCCTCATGTTCTTAAAAACATCTCGATCTGCCAGGCAAAGTGGCATAGAGGGAAGAGAGCTGACTTTGGGGCTGAGAAAAACTGGGTTCAAGTCCCGGTCTCTGACCCTCGGTAAATCCTTCCCCTTGGAGTGTTCCCATGACTCTGCATGACTACAGAATTGCAGGCAAGGTGTTGATCCACCTGGTACTGAGAGATCCCAGATTTAGACCCAGAAGGGACCCTTTGCTCTAACTCCTTCATTTTACAGATGAAGAAACTGAGGCTGAGAGAGAAATTGACTTGCCTGGCGTCATGTACCTAGTAAGTGTCTGAGGTTGGATTTGAACTCTGGTCCTTCCTCCAAATACAGCGTCCTATGAACTCCATCAGGGGTTCTTAACCTGAGGTCTATGGATCCACAGAGAGCCCTCGGGTAGATTTCCGAGGGTCTCTGAACTTGGTTGAACTTTATTTTAACATCATTGGTTTCCTTGTTATTCTATATATTGTATTTTATACATTTACAAACTTTATTCTGAGAAGCGGTCCATAGGCATCAGCTGACTTCTAAAGGTATCCATGAGATACAAAAAAATGTTAAGAGTCCCTGGACTGCTCTGGGCTGGTTATTAGGCAAAGGCAAAGGATAAACTCCAGAGGAGGACAATGTGGGTAGAGAAGGACCTTGATTCTATGTCCTGTGAGAACCAATGGAGGAATGATGATAGACAGGAGAGGAGATGAGATCGCCATATCTGAGGGTCTGACAGGGTGTCATGTGGGAGGGGGATCAGATTTGTTCTCTCTGCCTCCAGAGGGTTCAGCCCAGAACTTTACTAACCATTAAGGCCGTCCACAAGTAGAGTGGCTCCTCCCCTATCCCCACTGCCCTCCCACCATGAGGTGGTGGGTTTCCTTCCTTGAGGTCTTAAAGCAGGAGCCGGATGACCATTTATGGAACACGTGGTAGGAGATTCCTTTAAGGTAATGGCCCCTGAGGTCCTCGCCAAATCTGTGGGTGCACCATCAGTATCCTCCGATTTTAAGGGAAAGTGAGAAAGACCCCCTCCAGCACCCTGAGGACTTTACGAGAAGACACGAACAAGAGGCACCCATGGTGGGCAGACACAGGACGTTAGATTTAGAGACCGTCTCATTTTACAGATGGGGAAACTGAGGCCCAGAATGTGGAAGTGACTCGCCCAAAGTCCCACACCTCGTCTGGGACCTCGAGGTGGGATCTGAAGACAAGACTTCCTGCTCTGGGTGTCCGATGCCCTCTCCACTGCATCAGGCTGCCCCTCCTGGCACGGTTAGGCCGTGCCCTGCCCACGTATCACAATAGCCACGCTGTTGAGATGACACCTGCACCTGCCACAGCGCCTCATGCAGAACAGACTGTTAGCCGATGTAGGTTAAAAACTCATTCGCTAACGTGTCAAAGAGTTTCAGATCCTTTTTTCTAAGCCAGGATGGCACCAGGTGGCGAGGAGGGGTACCACAGAGGGAGATGGAAGGCAGGGAAGCTGACTCAACCAACCTCACGCTTTTTTCTAGTATAGCAAGGAGAAACAGGACGAGGACTCCAGTAGGGTTCTGGTGGTAACCCAAAATCCCCAGATCCCCATGCTTTCACCCTCCCTTCCCCAGCAGCAATCCAGATAGCTCAGGAAATCCCTCTCCCCCATTAAGCCTGGCATGGTGCACTGGATTTGGCCTTGGGCTTCAAAATCCTGTTTCTGCCACTTAATAGCTATATGATATTGGGCAAATAATGTCTTCTCTCTGGCCTCAGTTACCCCATCTTTAACATGAGGAGATTGGGCTAGTTCATCTCCAAGGTCCCTTCCAAAGCTACAGCCATGGTATCCTGACTCTCCCAGGGGTGTGCTCAGTCCCGGAGTCAGTCAGTCAATGAACACTTACTTATTAAGTCACTAATAACACTTACTTATGGAGCACCTACTACACGCCCGGCAGCAAGTGACCTTCACTGTGAAGTTGACTGTCTCCCCACCCGAAGCTAAAATTCTGCCCAACCCTCGTTCCCAGAGCCTTTAAAAGCCACCTCAAAGTTCATATCCTCCAGGATTCTGGCTGTGATTTAGCCATACTCCGTCCCCAATCTCCCTCAGCTCATTGTACATGGTTCAAGGTGTACCTTGGCGTATCTCCCTTTTCCGTTCTTGTCTCTCTGAGACGAGGCTTGGCACTGAGCGGGCCTGAGAGCAAGGAAGGCTCTTAATTCTAGAGCAGGGGTGGGGAACCTGCGGCCTCGAGGCCACGTGGGCTTTCTAAGCCCTCACGTTCAGCCTCTGACTCTGGCTGTGTGACCCTGGCTAGGTCAGGCCCACCTTTCAGTGCTCTGGGCGCTAACTCTTACAAAAAGAGTTCCCTCATTTAGGAATTCGCCATCTCGGGGAAATCCCAAGCCCATCTGCTCCCGATTCCCCTTGCCTGGTCCTTCAATGTCTCAGGGACCCGACGCAGATCACGGCCACTCCTTATTTAGTAATCGGTCCTCGTCCGCTCCGGCGGCCGAGAAATTCCTCGCTTTAAAAATACGTTGCAGCAACTCCCTCGTTACCTCGTGGGGTGTCTGGGTGGGGGACGCCAGTCTCGTTGGGAGGCCACACCATGCAGGTCCCCCCACCCCACGCACACAGTCGGGGCTTAGCGCTGATGCAAAGTACAAGAATTCTTAACGGGACAAAGGAGAGCAGAGGACCTCCACCTGCATCCTCCCTAGGATGAAAGAATCTGATTCAGAGCTGGGTACCAACCAGAACCTTTGTTTTCTATCTGTCTTTGCTGAGGCCTTCTGAAACCCCTCCATTTATCAGATGAGGAAACTGCCAGAGGTCAACCGCTTGGACGTGAGGGGGAGATGCTCTAGGGAAGGGGTGATGGACCCAGGACTGGTGGGGGGGGGGGCGATGGAGTTAAAGCTGGCCTCAGTTTCCTCATCTGTAAAACGACAGGGATCAGTTAGAGGATTCTAAGCTTCCTTCTGGCTCTCCATCAGCCTCTCTGAGTTTGTTGCTTCATCTGTAAAATGGGCATTATATAATGGCACATCTTGCAGGAGTCTTGGCGAAATAATGTCTATGGAGCACTCTGCAAACATTAAGTCTCTATAGAACGGTGATCGTATGAAAAAGCTGTTTTATAACTATTTACACATGTGCACGCACACGTACATATGCACACATGTGCTCATAAACACATACGTATGTGTGTATAGGTTTGAACAACAGATACATGTGTATGTGTGTATGCACATATATATGATTCTATCAATATTTCAGTTCACAGGCATTGACCCACTTGATTTTCATCAACCCTTCAAAGACAGGCACTGCAGGTATTTGTTACCTTCCACTTTACAGATGAGGAAACTGAGGCCGAGAGAAGGTAAGTGACCCACCCAAGGTCACCCC